GGTGTTTGCTGCACGACATCCGCTGCAAGCAGAAGCGCCCACCTTGACCCCACCCGCTCTCGCGCCTGTCCCGAGTCCACTACGGCCGCGGGGCATCGAGACACTGCCTGCCGGGCAAGGCATGTTTGGTCGATACGTGCTCTTTGATGCTTGCGCAAAGTTTGACCATTAGCACTTATTTGCCTAATTTTGCTGCGCCTGTTTCTTATGTATGTGTTATGTGGTCTTTGAGCAGCCCGGTGTCAATTCTCGCTCTACCAAGGGGCCTCATGGTCCCCTCAGATCCTTCCAGGATTGCTCCTGAACAGTTTTGAGTAGGATGGTGATAGCTGGACTGCGTGAGCCTATGCCATTTTCACAAATGTGGCGGCAATTCGAGACATTTGATGCTTCCAGGTAAACTTTGTTACAACATTTATGTCCTCTTTGTCTAGGTCATGTCGGTGGTATTACACAATGAGTGACAAATAACCCCTTTATCGCAAGAAATGCACTCCAAATAGCTTTTTGAATCGGTTTCTATGACATCGGTATGACATGACTCAGGAAAGCAGTGCTATAGTTCTTGCCGCTTTTGCAATTACGTTATCCAAGACCAAGCTAGTTCAACCTTTGAACATGGTGATCAGGTCTGATTTTTGAAGGTCATACAATTTTAACCCTAATTGCTGTTATGTCTCACAGTTTGGGAAGATCTTCTTAACGCTGTGTTTCCTATATGGCTTGTTTAGTTCTTGATGCTGCACTTCACTGACCAGCCGGCCGGTGACATACAACAGTTTTGACCCCCTTGCACAAACGTGACGTATCACAGGTCACACCTGTCGATAGCCAGTAGTGTTTATCCGGTACAGCTGCTAATTTGGCCTCCATTAGCTCGTTTTAGCAGTGAATGCGTTCCTATTAAAGCAATTAAGGCGCTGTTTTAGGAAACTTCGGTGTCGATTTCAGTATCTTTTTCAGAAATACTTGTTAGACCTTAGTGTCAATGCCCCTATCAAGATATTAAGAATAGCTCCCGATTAAATTTTAAAGCCCGCTTTAGCATCTTTGCAAAGGTATTTCACTACTTGGGATCGTGCCAAGGCACCCGCCAACGCCAAGGTTTTGGTCGAAAGTCGTTATTATGACCAAGATCCACAAACGTCTCACCCATAGATCGACATTTGCACACATAATTGCGAACATATACTATTTGTTTAGGGTGCGTTT